ACAACATAACCAAGAGGGAATCTGGGCAGCCGGTTCTATGTGGCTAGAGGCTCCTTGGTGGTTTGGAAACGCCCACAGGTGTTGGCTGGAAACGCTGGCTTGCTGGAACTGAGGTGACAGGTGCTAGGACCACCTCTTGGGAAAGATCGTGATCTGCCCGTAGCCAAGGGCCACCCAAGGCCAAGTGTGCACCTCTCTGGGGAAGGAGCCCTTAGGGTCCTTCTCATTCCCAATTGTATTAAAGAGGCCCGAAGGGGCTCCTGCCTGTGTAGCAGCTAGGTTGAAGGCTCTTTTCACTTCCTTCTCTTGCTATCCCAGCTCCTCTCGCCTAGAAAAGATTGTGGGTGAATGAACACAATTCCCCATTCTTCTGACATCATTCCTCTGCTTAACCAGTGGCATCTGAGTGAACTAGACTGTTGGTTCAGTCACTTGTTTGGGCGTGGGTGTGGCACAGGTGTGGTCCAAAATAATCCCAGCAGGTGGGATGCAACATTCCCACCTCTCCAATTCCATTCCTGGCAACAATGCCCTAGCTTACTTTCTGAAAATACCGGGCTGGCTTCACGGTTCAGTGGGATTCTACTTGGCATGGTGCCAACTCCCTCTACAAGCTGGTCTTGCTGGTTCCCAGCCTTCTCTATTTATCTTCAAAATCCTATTCAAGAGTCACCTCTAGAAACGCCTCTATGACACCTTCCTCTGAATAAACCAGGTACCTCTTGATAGAATTATTATCATCATCATCATTATTATTATTGCACACATCTCTGCGCTGATTAAATGACATTCATATTTCCTGACACCTTGTGGGAGACCAATAAACACTTGCTGAATTGAACTTGGCCTCTCCTTGATGGGTCCAGAAGGAGGAAGGTTGTGAAAATGCTGTTTTAGGAATTCCCATGGCATTCTAACAGCCTGGAATGAATAGGGCATTTAGAAAGAAATTTTCCATTAGTACCATAACAAAATGTACAAATATCAACTCTCAGGCAACTAATCCAGGCAAAATTCTGAAGCTTGCCCGGGCAAGAGAATGGTCCTAAAGAGAAAGAAAAGACTGAAGAACGGGCTTACATGATTGGAAAACACGGTTCCTATGTTTACATCTAAAATAAAAGACTAAAATGTACTTAGAAGTTGCCTTGGAGATGCCATCCAAACAGAGACCCATAAATGCTACCAACATTCAAACACGGAGAGAGATGACACCTCACCCACCTCACTAATGAAGGCAGCACGAATGGATGAAGTCGATGCACAAACAACAAAACTGAGCTCTGGTCCTGGGTCACTCGCTAGGTGAGCGAACTCAAAAAAGCAGAACTAATAATCTTTTCAAAGTGTGCCTTTTCCAAAACACTCATTAATGTTGTAACAATGTATGGCAACAGATGGTGACTATAGTTAGCGCGGGGAGCACTGAGTAAGGGTACAGAATTGTCAGATCACTATGGCATACACCCGAAACTAACATTGTTAAACATACTTTGATAGCAGATAAATACACACACACACACAGCACACAAAGTCTAAGAGCTATATCCATCAATACGGCAGTAGCAAAGCTCAGCAGGATGTCCGTCATTTTCTTCCTCATCTGGAAGACCGAGCCCTTTGAATTCTAACTTTCATGGCTCCGTGTAAGGCAACAGCATCTACGTACCAGTATATTTCCCCACGGAAAGATGGAAATATGTCTTGACTTTGGTGTGCCTTTGACTGAGAAACACGTAGATGAAGAACGTGGCTTGGAAACATGGACCTCTTGTTAAAGGTGCCTGTGCCCTTTGGCAAGAAGCCAGCAATGCCTAGATATTTTGTATTCTTCTGTGTCTCAGCTCCCATCTCTAAAAATATACTGATGACATTTTTCTCTGACCTCTACCTACCGCAGGGAATACAGAAAGGATAGGGGTGACGGCGCTCATTAAAACCGTGAACTTCTTGGAAGACAGAACACTCCTTCATTGTGGCTATAGTGTTAGCAACCCTAACACAGTTCACAGGGTTTTAAAAATCTAGTTTTATTAGGGGATGAGGTTCTCCGTGACCAAGATGCTGGATGACGACACCCAGCAAACTAGTCCAGCCAAAGCTGCCAAAAATTGCAACTCATTTAGAAGGTCTGTGTGCCTCCCCTTGCTCCCAGCACTGTATCACCCGCTTGACAAATATTAGATGAATTTGCTCTTTATTCTAAGGAGTAGTTGACGAGAAATGCTCGTGCCTAGCAGGTTCCAGGAAAACATTTTCAGACAAAATGCTTGGAGGATGAAGTAAGGCTGCATTTGGATACCTACTCCTTCATTCTTAGCAGTGGCCCAGCGGTTGAAGAGTAGAAACTCCCTCTATGAGCCCGTCACAGCAGCCACTCGCCCATCTTCTAGAACAAAGTTATGATTTCCCAATTTGCATAACTATATCCTGATCTCTTCCAGAAAGTCTTGTCTTACGTATTTATTTTTAAACTGCTGCTAGCAGTTTCTTATTGGCCATGGGAATTTTTAACAATTGAAGTAAAAGTTAAAAAAAAAAAACTCAACAGTTTCAAGTTGACAATATATTCATTATTCAACTACAAAAGAGAAATATGGGAGAAGAGTCTTTTGCCAGGAGGTAGGGTGAAATGATAAGGTAGATCTCATTTTCTATGTCGTCTTGTTTTGGTTTGCATTTGTTGGATGAGACAGTGTCAATCATTTATTCAGTAAATATTTACTAAATGCCTACTTTGCACCAAGAATTATGTGTGCCCGAAGGCTAGAAACATTATCCCCACTCTCCAAGAGTCCAATAAAGAAAAGGGAGGGAGAAGAAGGAGAAGCATTAAATTAATTAAGCTCCTACTCTGTGCCATGTGCTTTTCTTGTGGACTCTTATAACTACTGATGAGAGAAGGTACGAGATCCCCAGAAATTGTTCAGCGCCTCACAGTTGAGTGGATTGGTATTCGTAATCGAGTTGTTCTAATTCCAAAATCTCTTTTAAAATGTCTTCAGAAAGCAGAAAAAGAAGAAATTATCCATTATCCCTACCCTCATGATTTAAAGACAAAACAAAACAAAATTGTTAATGTTTTAGAAAATTGCCTCCCCCCCCCTTTTATTTTTTTTGTCTACATGTAGGGTGATTTTTGAATTTTTAAAATATGTTTCACAGTTGTCATCAAAGTGTTATACGGCCTTTCATTGGAACTATGGCATGATTGCCTAAAATACTCTGTTATTTTTTAATAGCACTAGAGAGAAAAATCATTGCCAGTAATATGCCACTGACTGACACAGGTCCAGGTCTCGGCAAAGTTAAAACATGAAGGGTAAAAATGAGTTTGTTGTAGGGTCAGTGACTTCTTCTGCATTCCCAAAAGCCCACCCTCGTCTACCTCCTGCCTGCTGGTAAGGGTGGCTTCCCAGCACAGGGGACCTGGCTCTCTCCCACATTAGACAAGCCTCTCTCCTGGGTCAGGAGGTCTCTCTCAGCAGGGAGAGCGCTCTCTTTGTCTTCTCACACATGCACTGCTTTATGTACAGTAGGTACTCAAGAAATATTTCTTGTTTGGATAAATCAATAACTAAAGCTTAAGAAGAAGGTTACCAACAAAAGAGGGTAACCATTACCATAGGCCCAAACAGTGGGGGGAGCCTATGTTTCCTTGGGGAATGAGGGTTTGTGTGACTGCACTCAGGAAGAGAGGAGAGGTGGATGGAACTTGGTTGGAACTTGGAGTCAGAGCCAGTGGCCTGCACTTCTCAAGGTCTTTCCCCTCCCATAGGCCACTACTCTGTCCACGTGGTTTCCTCTTTGGCTGTCCAGACCCCTATTCCAATATCCTCACCCAAGCCTGGCTCCACAGCACTGCCTGATTCCGCCATCTTGGGAAGCCACTCACATCTACTCATACGCAGCTGGCATACTGGGTAAGGTTTACCTGGGGACACCACCCAATAGCATCAAGTAATAACTCACATGGAGCAAATTCAGGAATCAGCAAGAAGCAGATACAGCAGAGTCCTATTTTTCAGAAGGAGCTGAAAATCTCCTTTCAGTGGACAGTATCTCCTCTGCCCCCAGGAAGGAGAAGGCTACACATTCAGAGTCCAGGTTATTCGACAACTTAACTTAACTTTCTAAGGATGTTCACAAAGATATCTGCCTGAGTCAGCAAAATTGGTGTAAATAAAGAAATTCAGCCAAACTCAGTTCTCCATGAATGTTTGAAGTTCAACACCAGATCGTCACATTTTGAACAACATCATGATTTCTCCTGCCTTCCTTTCCTCCTTTTCTTCCTCTCCACGCTTACCAGGTACCTTAGCGCATAGAGAACTGTGCTAAGTTCTCCAAGAAAAAGAACAACAGGTCAGAAAATTCTGACCTCAGAAATAAGCTTACACATTAATAGAAAGGCACGTGTTCCTCACAAAGGAGTAACTTAACAAGGTAGAGAAAGAGAGACCAAGAGTGTTATATCAGAAATGCAGGTGACAGGCAGTCAGAGTCCAGAGCCAGGAGAGATGCAGTCCAGCTAAGATTCTCATCAGGGAAGGCGGCAGAGAGGAGGTGTCCTTTCACCTGGGCCTTGAAGGTTGGAGAGGTTCTGGGGATATGGGACCTGTGGGGGAGGGGGGCGGTATGCCTGGGCAAAAAGCCCTCCTGCTGTTCCCTTTTAAGTGACTGTTCATTGTTGAGGAAACAAGATGCTGTTGTTAGGGCCTCTCCATGAGGTGTTAAATCACTGCTCAGTAAACAGATCATCACCTTGGGCTGACTGCTCTGGGCTGTCATGAGTTCTACCAGTTTAGGGCCAACACCGGGAAAACACTATGAAATTTCATGCTGATGAGGTGTGACATTTTAGAGGAAAGTCCTAAAAGCCAAAGCCTGGCATGTGACAGAACCGGAGGAACCCACCGCTGGTAAGGAAGGCTCCCGTCTGACAGCGATGGCCTGGTATCACTCTCCCAGACTCTAGGGGCGGTCAGCCCCCCACTTACCATGGACGTGGATTCCATTTGGTTGAAAGGAAGAGTTTGTTTCCGGCTGGTAAGACTTCAGGTGTGGCCCACCGGCTGGCTGCCGGGTGTGGGGAGGCTGCGTTCTCTGCATCACTGAAGAAGGAGCTGGAACTCTCCGGGGGCTGATGTGGTGAGGAGATGAGGCAGAAGGTGCAAACCTGGGAAAACGATTACAAAAGGAAGCATGAGGGGCATGAAAAAGCGGGAGCAGAGACAAACTCTTCAAAGCCAAATTCCAATTTCCACACTGGCTGGATAAGAGCGTGACAAAAAGCCATCAAAAGAAACTGATGAAGACTTTCTCTCCCATTTTTAACCACTGACTTCTCAACTGAAGGAATAAAAGAGGTCAACGAAGGGAAAACGTAGTCACAGTTTGGGTTTGTCAAGCCTCTTAAAATGCATTTCAAATACTCTGGGTTTGGTGAAATTCAAGGCACATCTTTTGCCAGGCTCCCTTTTCTGCTAATTTTTAAATTCGTCTGCATTTTAGGGGAAATTTGATCCTTATGTTTCTGATTCATTTACACTTAGCTCATAAACATTTTGTTCTGTGAGACATATCTGGGGTCCAAGAAGTATTAGAAGTCTTTATTATAAGCCTCTCTCATCCTGTTCTCTTTAAACAATACATTTTCTTTTGCCAAGAATGAGAGAATTTAAACCTCAAAGATCAAGTGTGGTTTGAGACCCAGAACCTATCTGCCTGGGTTCTGTGATTGGCAAAGAATGCTCGCTGCTTGGGGCACAACCACAACGCCACGTGGGACATCTCTGGTGGTCACATATACTAAAAACAGTAGAGCTACTGCTAGTTTCTGAGGAGGGACAGACAGATACAAGGTGATGTGGTCAATGTACCTGAGACACAGCCTGATAACCACCCACCAGTCTTCTAATTGCAAGGGGACTTTGGCAGGGTCCGACTCCCTGGGTTTAAAGTGACTTTCTAGCACCAAAGGGAAGGTGTACTTGGCAGAGCAGCGTTCAAGTTTACCAGTGTCCGCAGACCACCAAAGCAAACCTCAGTGCAGGTCACTAGGGGGCTGGCACAGGGAACCGTCAGTGCTGTGAGATGAAGTGACAAAATAATCAGGGAGCCCAGTGTATCAGCAATGGGTTGTTCCATCTCCTCAAAAAAGTCCCAGCAAGTTGAAAACTTCCAGTCGGTCAGCCTTGGCCTGACGATAACACGCAGCAGGGGCCAGCAGTGCACGCGGCTAACTGCACAAGGACGAGTCCCCTCCCTTTGCTGGGCTTTTGCGTCGGGCCATCGAGGGTCAGAAGGGAAACCCAACCAGGCAAGTTTGTAAAGCAATTTGCACCATTCTGAATCAGAATATGTAATAGGGCAGAGCCTCTCCATTTGTGTGGCATCAAGAAGGAACCACGGGATGGGAAAAAAAAAAAAAAGTATGGCATTCATATTCTAGACGATTCCTAAATGAATTCCATCCGGTGAGGGCTATGGAGGAAGGGGATGCGGGAACTGAGGAAGGAGGATGGGGAAAAGAGAAGATTCCAGAGGAGGCCGACACGAACTGGCTGTGTTAGGAGGCCTATTTTCACTCTGCTGCAGGAGAAGAGTAAGCGAGTACCCTGGGCTGGGAAATATATGTTTTCCAAGCGTATCATCTTAATTGGAATTAGCCTGGAAGATGTGCCAAGCGGCCATGAGAGAACACATCGCAGATGAACCCTGTCACTGCCCTGAGAACATCTAGTAAAAAACCCGTGTGCCAGGATTCCTCATATGGAGGCTATTTTCTTGGGGAATGAGTCCCTAATGCATCTGGCAACTCTGTCAGAGGTCACGGGAGGGAGCCGGGGAATTGTGGGATCGCAGGCTTTAGGGCTAAAAGGAGCCCACATGACCACCCCACCCCAGAGCCCTGTGGGCAGAAGACCCCCAGGGAGAATGGGGAGGACTGGAACTGGAAGACAACCTTGTCACTGGCATCGCGAAGCAGCAAGATCCGTTGACTTGCTTCCTGACTGTATTTCTTCATCTGGGAATGAAAGACGCAGCACACTCCCGACGGTTTTCTGGTATTTTCTCTAGTACTTGTGCCACTCTTCCTTTCCATCGAGAACTGACGGGGCAGAGATGTGTGGTGGGGGCAAGTCACAGTGTGTGTAAGTCTAAGCCTGATATTGTAGGCTTGATGGAGGAGAGGGATTCTGTGTTACAATGCCCCATGCTCCCGGCCAGTGAGTCTGACTCACAAACAAGGGTTTGATGAACAAAGAGAGAAAACGTAGATGGCGAGGGGGAAGGAGGCAGACTGTCAGCAATACAAAATCTTCTATAATTTGGGGTGATCTGGCTATGGAGTGAACTATGATTATTAGCTATAAAGAAGGGAAGATTTCAACTCGCTGAAATGGCAGAATTCATTTAGGAGTCATCTAGAATGTAAATTCCATACAAGAGAATCTACATCTATATCTGGATTATAGAGCTACATATAAATTATATAGCTATGTATCTATCAAGAGAGCATGTAATTATAAATCATTCTTATCTATATTCATTCATGCAAATTCTAAACCCTGGCCATGCCCTCTTGGCTACCGCGTATTTCCATAATGTAGTAACGGTGAGCAGAGGAGAAAAAGTGTGGTGGTGTCACGTCAAGGTGTTAGCAAGCCTTCTTTCAGAGAACTGGGAGGAGTCAAATACATATGCTGACCCTTCGACTGACTCCACATTTCACTTTTTGCATTTCTCTCCATGTTATTCGAATAAGTAAGATTATATGGTATAAAGTTAACGCAATTTTAAAGTATAGTGTGTCACTTCATACGAAGTATTAATAAAAATTTAAAAGTAAACCGTTCGAGGTGAGATAAATGTACACCTAAAGAACTCCCTGGCTTGGGAAGGAAAGGACTGATACAAAAATGTTAACTTTTACAATACAGAGAAAAGATGAGAAGTGACAAGATGTGATTACAATTATCCACACAATTGCTAGGAACAAGGAAAGAAAGAAGAATTCAGGGCTAAAAAGCCCAGCATAAGGATTGAGTGTATAAATGTGACTGATTTTCAAGTGTAGTACTTAGATTCAATTTTGTTACTGCTCAAACATGGTACATAGTATTTTATGGAAAAACCTCTCACATTCTCTCTACTAATTTAAATTTCACTTTTATGAACCTGCTTCCACGTCCACCCGCTCACAGTAGAGTAGAATTTAGCAAATTAGAATCCGAGGCGAGGGGGCAGGAGGGGAGTGTAGTGGTCGGGTCTCTCCTCCATCAGTGGGAAGGCCCTGGGAGCATCCAAAACAGTCACTGACCACTAGGAACAAGACTGATGCCAGAAGTGCTTTAGAAAAAGCCAAAAGGACTTGAGAACCGAGTGGTTTGAAGCCAGGCACTCCAGAAGCAAGCAAAGAACCAAGAACATCCACACTCACGCAGAAGCTCATTAAGCCAAACATGAGATGTTCTTACTGCTACTGAGGGTAGCGTGTGGGGGCTTAGGGCCCCATTTTCTTAGGGCCCTCACTGATTTTCCAACCTCGTTTCTTTAATACGCCCACATACACATACCAAAATGAATATGGTCTGGATATTTTGCCCCAAACAAATTTTTTTTTAAGTCCAAAGATGGTGAATTAAAAATTTCTGATGCTAAAGTAAATAGTTTTGAGGCTGAGGCTAAGCTGCGATGATTTACGATGTTCCTCCCAGGAACTAGCTCATTCCCCCATTCCGTCGGGACAAGATGGCGTCACTCTAACTCACTGGGAGCTGCACAGTCCGCGAGTGGGAAGAGAGAACGTCTGAACATTTTCTGTCCCCCAGCTGCGGATCTGCACTTCACAGCTCAGAAACTACATTCAACGTAGCTTACCAGTCTCTTCTTCAAGACAACAGGAGGTCGTTAATATAAATATGCACACAACAGACTAGAAATTTAAAAAAAAAGTCACTGCTTACCAGAAACACTTCACACAAAAGCAATCCAGAGAACTGAGTCAACCACTAGTTCTCCTTTAGTGGAGGAGTTTGGATAACCTCAGCGGGGAGCCACTGCCGGGTTCAATGGTTTGCGCCCCTCCCCCCACCTCCTGCCCAAAAACACAAAGACAAAATAGGGGCGCAAACAGATTTTAAAGGGCTCATAAAAATAATCTCCTGGGGAAAGAAAACAACCTAAAAAGGCTTCTGTAAATAAATATCTATACACACCTTAGAAAATGTGTGATTATTTGGGGGGATTTGGTCAGTTACGCTCCTTCTCTTCTGTCGTCCACTGCCACCCTCAACTCACACGGAGCTTTCCAACTTTGCAGTGAAGTGGGCCAGAAGCAAAGAGGTCACGTTTCCGATAATGCGGTACTAGAAAGAATCTTAGATTGTTTCACAGAACGGCAGATCCTGATTGAGACACACAGTACTGATGAGGGTCATAGGACAAATTGCATATGGCAGGAGATGGATATCACCTAAGACCTACTGGGCTTGGATTCTGGCTCTGTCCTTACCAGCTGGGTAATCCTGAATAAATGCCCTGACTTCTCCCAGCCTCTATTTCAAGTATAAATCTCAACACCTACTGGGGATCATAAAACCCCAGTAGATAACATATTCATTTATTCATTCAAGAGATATTTATTGAGCACTGACCCAGAGTGTGGCCCTATTCTAATCACAAGGGACAGAGCAACACATGACATGTGTCCCTGCTTTTGTGCGACTTCTATTTCGGGGAGGAGAGGCAGGCGATGAGCAAAATTAAGTAAGCAAACCGTACATTGTATTGAGGAAATGAATACTCTGGAGAAAAATCAAGAATGGAAGGTGAGGGGTGGGGGTGCATTATGAATAATTTTAAATTGGGAAGTCAGAGATCTTGAAGTACTTTAGACAATATCTGACATCTTCCAGAAGATCAACGCATGCTTATGGGATGACTGCTCTAAATGGAATGTACACTTAAGGTTAGCCTGACGTGAACGCATACCCAGGGCTTGAGAGCTCTGTAAGACTGTGGTTCTGTATTCTGTAAGACTGTGATTCCAGCACTGCATCTGAATTTCTATGGAGTTCTTAAAATTAAAAAAAAAAAAAAATCTTAGGACTCTTTTCTCTCTTGACTACGCATACACGGAAACTAAGTCTCAGAGAAAGCAAGGCATTTACT